GAACTGGTCTGAAATGAAATGGATGAAATTGAGAGGTGTCAATATTGGCCACTCTACGACGATCCGTTTGTAAGCCTAAGTTTATGCAGGAGATTGGCATGATACCGGCTGCATATAATATTCATTTTGAAAAAGGGAGTGTAAAACGAAAATTATGTTGTTAAAATTTTTCGACTAACAATCCTGGGGAGAAGGAAAAAGGGGGCCTACAAAAGCAAAAAGCAGGCTTGCGTTTTGTAGAGTAAGATATTCAACGTTTCAGCAGCCTTCGAACACATTTATACTTTAGTCATAAAATAAACAAAAAGAAAATACCAACATGTCAACATAATCATAATCCAAACTCGAATTCAATAAAACTAGGACAAACTATGAAAGAAAGAAAGATTTATACAAAGACTCCTTAACCAGTACAACGAGAATAAAACCATATGTTCGGAAGAGCAAGCGTCTTCTGCATCATCGACAACACCCGCTATATAAATCTTCGTCAATCAAAGTAATATCACGTTGTAAAATTACAACAAGGTATACAACAATGGATCCAACAACTGAGTCTAGTTAGCCAATAGGGACACATATCGGTATATCAATTAAAATATCTGAAACTTGTTTTCTTTTCACTAGATAATTTATATGTCTCGTCGAGAAGTTTTGATTCTTTGCGCTCAAAAATAAAATCAATCTAGGAATGGCAAGGAATGACCTTTAGTCTTTAACCTTGACCGATGACTACCAAAACAAAACCAGGTGTAAAATTCTTTAGTGTTATCTAAAGGGCCGGTTTCCAAAACGGCCCCTTCTCTGATTCAAATTTCCTGTTGGTGGTGCATTGCCCATGCCGTTGTGGTCACAAATCTATAAAGTATAAAGATTTAGGTCACTTGGTTTGTTTTTTATGGCTCCTCAAATTTGTACCTTTCAGAAGCTGTCTAAGTATTGATAAAATGTGCATGTTATGTAAAATATTAATGAAAATCTAATCAAATGATAGTCACCGTAAAGAATACATTCATGGCATGATTGTGACAAAAAATCATGTTTCCATCGCGCCATTTGGCTGTTTTATGGAAGAAACAATCTCAAAAATGCCATTTTCGATGATAACATTTTAGACACAAAAACTGTGTTTTTTAGAGAATACACCCTTTTATGGGCGTTGAATGCAAACCAATTTTTATCCTATTAAATAGCACGTAATATGCTATTGATGAGAGGAAAAATCATCAAAATGTAAGTGGTGGAACATTTTCAAATGTTGGGTTAAATTAGCCTATGGTTGAATTGCCGATTTTCGACTTTCTTTAGATAATTAACAAAAAAAAACGAGAGTATTTGCTCGGTATGTTGAGAATATGTACACAGATATGAAAAAAAGTGAGAGAAACACTTTTTCGTAAAAAAAAATCCAAGATGGCTACTTCGCAAGTCCCCGTGGTTGAAGACATTGGCTGACAAATATACAGAACAACAAACAAAACGTGTTCCTTATGATTTTGGTTGGTTTTCGCATTTACGGGATTGTTCATAGCTACCGGCGATTGTATAATACCTATATTTATAAGTTTGGTTAGTCACATGGTAACGGGGATCTTTCATATCGAGCCCCAAACATACTTTAGACATATGCACTCTGTTGCCGCATGGAAAACTATTTCAAGTTTTGTCGGAATTTCTTTACCTATGGTTGTAATAGTCGAGGGTTTTCCAGCGTCCTGTAATAACCAAGGTAGTACAAGATACTGGAGATGTGCGCACACATTCCCATCGTTCTCTCTCCAACTGGGCACTGGCAGTAGTAGTCCTTTATTGGGGCCTCAACATCGGGTGAAACGGTGAACCGTATCCAAACGTTATATTTCGTTTGGCTTTTGTGTCGAGAATGTATTTGACATCGGAGAAGGTCTTGGGAGTGCTGGTAAAGCCACACCTCATAGTCTCTGTCATCACTTAAATGTTCGGCGATGTAACCAGGAGCCAGAGATATCTGATACGTTCCACACGTAATGGTTCTCAAGTAATCAAGATCGAGACGGGGAAACAGTACCTTTTTTTTTTTACACATCATAAAACTGTCATGAAAATATCCGCTCTGATATTCAATATAAAAGTTTGTATATAATAAGCTATATAAAAGGGTTTCAGACAAGGTTGTTACTAATTTCCCCTTTTCTTTCAATTTAAAACCACATTCAGGCGGCGATATGAGAACGTTCCACCACATGGAATTAGCTGATTTTTGGTACAAATATGAAACAAGGAAAGCTCTATCCGATTTTCTGATGGAAATTTGCATCCAAAACTATATAACGGGAGAAAATTGCAAATTTATGGCATTTTTCTTCATAACTGTGTCTGCAAGTGCATTTTCATCCGAGAATATTTTTTTTTTATGTTTTATGAATAAACACGATGTTTTGGAAATATTTATCAAAAGAAATTTATACTATGTTGCGAATTACAATTTCGAGATAACCTTCTTTTATTTACAAACTTATGTCTTTGATGCTGAAACTGACAACTTTATAAAAATACATTTTCACTGAAATTATGAAATCTGGGTGTCGGAAAGGTGTAAAATTATTTTTCGGAAAAGAAAAAAACAGTAGTTGAGATAGATAAGAAATTATACGGGGGCAGGCTCCTATGGAGAATTAACATTACTGGAAACAGGCCCTTTTCCCTTGGCCATGAATTCATGAGATGTGTTGTACACAGGTAATATGATGCATTGACGAACTAACAACGTAGTTACTATAAATCCCCCTAAAGTTCCTTACGAAGTAAGAGGTATGATGAAAATTGCATCCTATATATCAGAGCTGTTTTGTCTTGAAGAGTAAACATTATGTCCTGCCTGACCATATTCAATGTATATACAATTCTTTATCTAGTATTAATGACCAGTACAATGACTCAGTATATTAAATACTTTCCTGATGTTTCCTCTGCCAAATCCAAAATCATCAAGAAATAATCGTTAACTATCACATAATTGTTTACGTCCGTTTCCTACCCTTGTACATTACCCTGACCTCGTAAATAACATCATTCCTTTGGAGTTAGGTTTGGAAATGTCGGTCATGACGTAAACACGATTACATAGGGTTTCTGTCTCTCTCAGAATAGTAGTAAGTCATCTCTATTCATTATAATTATGAACACATCAAATCTTAACCGAAGTAAAATAGGTATATAAAAACAGTATGATGTACACATCTCATTGGTTTATATGAATACTTATATATCCCGAATTGTCTAAGACGTAAAATAAAATAAGATATGAACTATGCTACCTTCAGCAATACTCGCGACATACATCAGGATTTATCTCTCTGAAATTATTTCTATCAGATTTATCAAACAAGATAATAGACATAGTATTTAAAATACATTTTCGATAATACTCTTCAAAAGTTCTATATCATGTGGTTTATCATAAAGTCAATTCTGTAAGAAACTGTCCTATATTACTATAATGACTGCACACAAATCTATCAAATAATATCTTATTATCTATCTATTTACTAAATGTCTTATCTATCAATTAGATTTGTTCTAACGCAGTTGATATACCGTATAAGCTATAAAATACATTCCAAATGGCATCAAAAACCGAAAAAACTATAACACTTTGAATATTGTATATTTTGTAGAGATGCTTGAGTGGTCTTCAACTCGAAGTAAAACGGCGACGAATAATTTTCACACTATCAAATGCTCTTCAAGGAACTATTGTATTGTTCTCATGGCAGTTAATATGAACTTGTAACGAAATGTCCTGCGGCGTGACTCTAACGTACAAACGTAATGTATGACGTGTGTGTGAATTGGTTAGGTTCACCAATATATTTTAAGTAAATCATGAAGTAAACATCAATCTTTTTTTTTTTTTTTTTTTTGTATTTTTTCAACATTATAAGATCGCGTTTGCAATGGATCATGTATATGTCTACAAACTCAATGTTATTATAACATTGTGAATGTTAACAAAGCATTTTTTTTTAAGTTAACGGGATAATTTTGCTGCAGAACGGTATATTTGATAAGAAATATTGTGATAGAGAAATAGGTCATCACTCCAACGATTCATCTTAGACAGTTTGATCTAATCTTAAAACCGTGTTCGTGGATTTATAAACCAGTTTGATATATATTATTTTCACCATAGATATTTGATGTTTCAAGCTGCGTTATGTGTACACGTTCTCGAAGTTACTTCGTAACACACGATGCCATAACGACACCGAGAACACCCAAATCTGAGCAGTCATGTACGCGGATCTATACAATTCATACTCCCACTGCAAACGGACTCATACAACCCTCACTGCTCACGGATTTATAAAATTCTCAATCCCACTGCACACAGATCCATACAACCCTCACTGCACACAAGCCTGTACAATATTCAATGTACAAGATGTTATGTTTATAACACATGTATATGTACACTTCTTTTAAATACTTTTGCTTTTACCTCTATAGATTAGTCACTTACAACGTAGTTTATATACCATATTAACCATAAAAAAATCCTTTTTATTAATACATGTAAACAACCTGGTACTACCCTCGCGTCCCCGACACAATTACTCTCATGTTTACATTAACAATATTTACGTTGTTGTGTTGCTTGTTGATTGTTCCATCTAGTGTACATGACTTTGTAAACATCATTTATCAATACCAAATAGGCTGGAACTCATAGTTCACGTAATAATTGTAAGCGGCACGTCTAAACACTGAATTGGCTTATCACTTAGCAATGAAGATATGCTAAGCTGATGATATCCAAAATATGTCGTGTGGAACCAGTGCCGTGTGAATTGTTTAATTTGCACACGGCATGGGTTTTGCGAACGTCACCCTTCCTATGATAAAAGTTTGCACACCAAAATCTCAGGGCCTATAAAAGGAGTCACATTTTAAAGTTGGTTTAACGCTGAGGCTTTGATTATATCAACTAATTTCAAGAGGATTTCAACATAGACTGCGAAATGTGTCAGGCTGAAGGTAAGTTATTTATTAACAATTTGATGAAGCCAATATTTCATTTCTAAAGACTGCCAATTTCGGAACTACCTAGCACTGGCACAGGAAATAATACGTGATTTCAACTTCTTTAAGTCTCAATTTTAAATCTATTGATATTTAAAGTAACATTCAAATATGAATACATTCAAACGGGATTCCTAAACCATAACGCTATGATGATTAAAACACCAATTCGAACAATTTGTCAAATTGGATTTAAAGGTGAAAAAAATACGAATTTTGTCAAAAAAAGATACTTACAATTGCTGATTGTATTAAATGTGAGTTAAGAGCATGATTCTATGGACTTTCTGATAACTCAGACTTATCTCCTTTCATGAATGTTATTATGTCTGGAGGTAAGACCAACGGAGTTTCTGCTTCAGAATTTAAAATTACAAAAATTAACAAAAAATACAAATTGAAATATTTCATATTAGTGATAATCTAGAGAGAGAAGAGATGATGTAAATATTCACTGGTAATTTAAGTATGTAAAAAGTTGCTTTTCCCTTCAGCTAATTTGTGCGCGAAGTGTTCGGAGGGGAGATGCGACTGTACTGTTACAGACTGCTGTAGCAGCAGCTGTAGTTGTCCCAGATGTAAAGCCAGCTCCGAAGGCTTAGGTAAGCCGAAAAAGAACTTTATTACTTATTTGTAAAAACGAATTCAGCATTTAATGATTTGTCTTCGATATTCTTCAGATAATAATAACTTAGGTATGTTTCAAATTTAACAACATCCCTTAGCTTGGTATAGTTTGCAAAGGCAGATGATCTTATTTTGAAAACATAAATATGACGGTTCCAAACCAGATTAATCCTTTATATTATCGAATCATGAGCTTTATTGCTATCAGATGTGTCTCACGTTTGAAAACAAATTATTTGATGAGATTTAATAGCCTTAGCTTATATAAAAAGAACATGTCTAAATATCATGTTATGAATTGGATTCTTACTAATGTATTATTGTAATTACATAGAAACGTTGGAATACTACATTGACGGCGGTCTCATACAATATAATATACAAATAGTTTAAGTTGAGGAATGGTGTATTTACATTTCAGAGGCTGATGGCACTACCTGTCCTGATGTTCTTTGTCAGAATTTAAAATTCAAAAATACAAATTGAAATATTTCATATTAGTGATAAACTACAGAGAAGTGAAATAATGTAAATGTTCACTGATAATTAAGTATGTAAAAAGTTGCTTTTCCCTTCAGCTAATTTGTGCGCCAAATGTTCGGAGGGGAGCTGCGACTGTACTGTTACAGACTGCTGTAGCAGCAGCTGTAGTTGTCCCAGATGTAAAGCCAGCTCCCAAGGCTTAGGTATGTCGAGATAGAACTTTATTATTTAATTGTAAAAACGAGATTAGCATTTAATTCTTTGTCTTCGATATTTTTAAGATTTAATAACCTTCGCTTATATGAAAAGAACAGGTTTACATATCATGTTATGAATTGGATTCTTACTAATGTATTATTGTAATTACATAGAAACGTTGACGGCAGTTTCTTACAATATAATATACAAATTGTTTAACTTGAGGTATGGTGTATTTACATTTCAGCGGCTAAAGGTACTACCTGTCCTGATGGAATATGCCAACTTGGACGCGAGTGTGAGTGTGGCGACTCTTGTCAGTGCAGTGACGGATGTCAGTGTCCTCAATGTAAAGCCGGATGCAAAAGTGCAGGTAGAGTGTCTCATTTGTTATGCACAGTTAGCTTTAATCAGGACAATAAAAAGAAACTCACACCAGGTAGTCTTTAATTACTAGAGACGGAAATTCTTCGATTGGTGAGAATTAGTTACTTGTAACTGCGCATCCGGTAAATGTATGTTTTTTTTTTTTTTTTTTAAATAGACTTATTTATACAGTTATTATCTTGCAAATATGTTAGAGTATCATAAAGATCGAGTGCATATGAGGATAAGAAATTTCTAAATATTTGTAAATGAAATAATGATTTTTTTTTCACAAATAAGACAATTATTTCCCTTTTATGCATTTATTTCAATCAATTTACTACCGGGTAATCAAAACATCTGCCCCATTTCTAATATAGTATTCAAGGGTGTAACAGGATCATGCTGTTATACGGATGTTATAGTTTGATTGGTGACCTTTAACGTACTTGCCTGTTGTCTGATTTGTTCGACAATAACTATCTATATAATAACATAATATTTATAATTTGGTCAAATAAGGTATTTATCGACCTTTTCGTCCATTAATTATTTTCTATATCTGCGTAATAGCTGTGTCAGACACAAGCTTTATTTGTTCACCTCCATTTTACTTTACTCTGTCTCCTTGTTTTCTCCCTTCTAATTCAATCATTGTTATCATTCTGAAGATTTTATTGATCAGAGACTGGATAGTTCAATTCTGCATTTGCTACTGTATTCTGCGTTATGATGGTAAACAATTTTATCAATGCTGTATTTGTACATAAGAATTTACTCTTATCAATGATGAAGCAATTTGATAAACAGACTACATTAACTAACGTTCCTGCATATTAACTTATTTCTCCTGTAGCCGTGTACTGCGCCAAGTGTCCTGGAGGGAAGTGTGGTTGTACTGGTGCAGACTGTTGTACCAAAAACTGTAGATGCCCCGGATGTAAGAGCGGATGTGGATGCTTCCGTGAGTTGCTATATGACATTAATATATACAATTTCTTCATTTTAAAAGATAATTATCGGTAGCATGGTTTATATTTGATAATAGTGTCTGAAGTTAATTCAATAACAATAAATATCTTATCCTTAATATAGATATTACGACAGTGTTCAAATTTCTCTTAGTGTTTTTTCCATGTCAGGATAATGCGAGGATGTTTTATCACATATATACCGCTTTGTATAGATTTTGTAAAATGGAAATTCAGTCATGTTATCAATCACTATTTATCAACTAAATTTTTGATAATCTTCTTTTCATATAGCGAAGAAAGGTGGCTTCTGTCCTGGTGGACAGTGTCAGGTCGGACGTGCGTGTGAGTGTGGAGATTTCTGCACGTGCAGTGACACTTGTGAATGCTCTGTCTGCAAGGCTGGCTGCAAGTGTGGAGGTAATGTTGTTTAATGGTAGTGTACACTTGTATTAAATGTTAATGCTATCTTCACATTAGAGGTTTCCGTATCCGTTACACGACTAAGTAGCAGTAGGAACGAAAGGGATGGGACATTTTATAGCATACTCCTTGGCTGTGTTGCATATCATTTGATACTGCGAGTAGTAACATTGAAAAATTGAGGGGTTTGTCACTTGTTGCATATAAGGATTTCGGGTAGATATATACAAAGACTTAGTTGTCAGTAGTGATAGTTTGGATCTCTCCCAACTGTATTCATTATAAAAATACATAAAGTCGACCAAAGTGGTTTGCAAATTAAAATTTCTCTAAGTCGGTTGGTAAGCTTGGTTGTTCTACAGATAAGATATAGAGGTACTCCTTTGCACATGTCCTCAGGTTGATATTTTAATGGGCGATAAATCTTACCAACATATCCATTCGCTGATTCTATTATTCTTACATCCCAGGTGCCAATGTTGTATGTTCTACGAACTGTCAATCAGGACAATGCTGTGAAACTAGTGCTTGTCAGGGCAGGTGCAAGTCGGCTACAGGTAAGTACTCTTATTATATTAGACGCCACAATTTGAAAACAACGAGTATATTTCTATGTCAATGCCATGATTTATCGAAGTATATTCGATCATTAAGATTCCATTCAACGTTCTGCCAACATCTTATTTCCTTCTAACATATTATATTGATTATATCATGTTAAACAAAGACAATATGACTAAGAATGGTTACGCTACGAGTAACGAAATTGCTGTCGATTACCAGAATTTTGTTAATATTTACTTCTTTCACAGCTGTGTTCTGTGCCAAATGTCCCGGGGGGAGGTGTGGTTGTACTGGTGTGGATTGTTGTACCAGCAAGTGTAGATGCCTCGGATGTAAAGTCAACTGTGGATGTTTCTGTAAGTTGTGACACCACTTAATTTCAATAATCATTTTGTTGAAAAGACTCTTCATACCCTCCTTTTTATATAAGTCCATGATATTTTTCTGCAACTACGCCTTAATATCATTGGATATTTTATCAGACGTATGATCGTTTATTATTGTAATTTTAACAGATTACAGTGTAATAATAAATATTAAATAATATTATTCTAATTCAGCGGCTAAGCGAGCTACTTGCCAGGATGGAGCTTGCCACAAAGGGCGTGCATGTAGGTGTGGCTGCAAATGCAGTAGCGCATTCCAGTGTCCATCCGGCAAAGCTGGGTGCAAATGTGCAGGTAACATTGTTATATATTCATTTAGGTGATTTAAAATCGCTATTTGTTCCTTTCTGTTCTATGAAAATATACGTAGTTTTGATGAAACACATATAAATCGTTATCAACAACAAAGTGTTCGACATACCTATAAAATGTGCCCCATGTTAATGTGTTTTAATATCCACTCTTTCAGACTGCAATTTCGTGTGTTCTGCAGAGTGTGGATCTAGGCAGTGTTGTGGAACAAGTGCATGTAAATGCAACGGCAAGTGCGCATGCCAGAAGTGCAGATGCACCTGCGCATCTGGTAAGAATTTCAAATAGTGCATGTCAATAAAAACAAACAGAGTTTGTGCTGTTAAAACTGGATAAGAGTTGTATTTTTAAGCTTTCCTGAAGATGTTGTGTACAATATGATTTTAACAGCTGCACAACTACTTTAACTAAACTATTTGGCTCATCATGTCAGTTTTTTCCACAAAAACGGTGTGTGCTTTGTTTGTTTATTGTTTTCCCCCTTCTTTTTAATTATAGATATACATCTAAATTTAATAGAAAGATCGCAGTAGTTTCCACGACTTCTATAGCCTGAAGATACACTGAACTGTAAATGATGATCCTCGGTATTTGCTTTTTTACTAAGCTGTAAATTAATCACTTAGACTTAATACTTAAACCATATGTCTCATTTTAGGGAATTGCACTTGTAATAGAGGATGTACTGGACCCTGCACTTGTAAATGTGTTGCAGAGTGTGGATCTAGGCAGTGTTGTGGAACAAGTGCATGTAAATGCAACGGCACGTGCGCATGCCAGAAGTGCAGATGCAACTGCGCATCTGGTAAGCATTTCAAATATTGCATGTCAATAAAGACAAACAGATTTTGTGGTGTTAAAACTGGATAAGAGTTGTACTTTTTTTTGCTGAAGATTTTGTGTACAATATGATTTTAACAGCGGCACTACTACTTTAACTAAACTATTTGGCTCATCATGTCAGTTTTTTCCACAAAAACGGTTTGTGTTTTGTTTGTTTATTGTTTTCCCCTTCTTTTTAATTATAGATATACATCTAAATTTAATAGAAAGATCGCAGTAGTTTCCACGACTTATATCGCCTGAAGATACACTGAACTGTAAATGATGATCCTCGGTATTTGCTTTTTTACTAAGCTGTAAATTAATCACTTAGACATAATACTTAAACCTTAATTCTCTTTTTAGGGAACTGCACTTGCGATAGAGGATGTACTGGACCCTGCACTTGTAGATGTGTTGCAGAGTGTGGATCCAGGCAGTGTTGTGAAACAAGTGCAAGTACATGCAACGGCAAGTGCGCATGCAACAAGTGCAGAAGCAACTGCGCATCTGGTAAGCATTTCAATTATTGCATGTCCATGAAGACAAACAGATTTGATGGTGTTAAAACTGGATAGGAGTTGTACTTTTTTTGCTGAAGATGTTGTGTACAATATGATTTTAACAGCTACACTACTACTTTAACTAAACTATTTGCCTCATCATGTCAGTTTTTTTCAAATAAACGGTTTATGTTTTGTCTGTTTTTTTTTTTTTTTTTTTTTCCCCTTCTTTTTAATTACAGATATACGTTTAAATTTAATTAAAAGATCGCAGTAGTTTCCAAGACTTATATCGCCTGAAGATACACTGAACTGTAAATGATGATCCTCGGTATTTGCTTTTTACTAAGCTGTAAATTAATCACTTAGACATAATACTTTAACCATATTCTCTTATTTTAGGGAACTGCACTTGCGATAGGGGATGTACTGGACCCTGCACATGTAGATGTGTTGTAGAGTGTGGATCTAGGCTGTGTTGTGGAACAAGTGCATGTAAATGCAACGGCAAGTGCGCATGCAACAAGTGCAGATGCAACTGCGCATCTGGTAAGCATTTTAATTATTGCATGTCCATGAAGACAAACAGATTTGATGGTGTTAAAACTGGATAGGAGTTGTACTTTTTTTGCTGAAGATGTTGTGTACAATATGATTTTAACAGCTACACTACTACTAAAACTAAACTATTTGGCTCATCATGTCAGTTTTTCCCAAACGAACGGTTTATGTTTTGTTTGTCTGTTTTTTGTTTTCCCCCTTCTTTTTAATTATAGACATACATTTAAATTTAATAGAAAGATCGCAGTAGTTTCCACGACTTATATCGCCTGAAGATACACTGAACTGTAAATTATGATCCTCGGTATTTGCTTTTTACTAAGCTGTAAATTAATCACTTAGACATAATACTTTAACCATATTCTCTTTTTAGGGAACTGCACTTGCGATAGGGGATGTACTGGACCCTGCACTTGTAGATGTGCTGCAGACTGCACATGTAAGCAGTAAGTGGTGACGTCATTGGATGGATAGTCCCACTTTTTCTCAGTTTCTGCGGACATCATTATTGACATTTACGTATTCAACGTGTTATTCAGAGAGTTTTATTTGTATTTAAACGGAAAGTATATTACCTGGTGATTTCAATGTAATCGTTCGCTTAACAATCAATTGTATTCCCAATCATTGTCATATCTCGAAGTTGTGTTATTACAGACGAATTTAAATAAAATATGGCTTCTACTTTTTCCGGTGTTGATAATTTATGTGTATGTTCTATACCCTGATTATCTCCTAATCCTTTTTACAGTAAGATCTATAGTCTTTACATGTTTAGAAACGATTGAAAATAGGCGCCTTCCTTTTATTTCCATTGTCTACGTACAAACCGACGACGTTTTAAGTAAAGACTTTATAATCAGCCATACCAACATCAAGAAACTGAGACATTGACTGGAAACCTGTAGTACCTGGTTATCTTCTCAATGGACATATTGACTGGCAACCTATAGTACCAAGTTATCTTCTCAATGGACACATTGACTAGTAACCTGTAGTACCAGGTTATCTTCTCAATGGACACATTGACTGGTTACCTGTAGTACCAGGCTATTTACTAGACTAGTTACTTGCAGTACCAGGGTTGATACCCAAGGAAATTTCTATTTGAAAATTAGGAGGTGACTGCTGAAAATCTAATTTGACTGAGAGAAAGATCAAAGTCTAAATGGGGAGGTGACTAGCCCAATAATGACATCTAGTTCATCATTTCCATATATATGATAACGTAAGGTGTATACAGAAATTAAGTTACCTAATCTACTTTCACAACACTTGTTGGGTATAACGGAAATATTAAAACGACTCAATATTTATTCAATATTTACTTGACTGACCTCAATATGAACATCTGAACTGATCTACTATATATGTTATAACTGGTCAATAGCAATGAGAAATGCTTTACAATAATTGTTAACTGATTATTCTACCTGATATTCATCTGATTTTTCTTGTCCGCATGGAGTTTTATTGTCGAGAAAAACCGAAGTATTAGAAGGAAAACTTACGTGGTCCCCACACTTTCCATGTTATGTCGTGGAATCGAACCCTAGACGTTTAGGTAAAATGAGCGTGTGTTGCCTTTGCACTACCCGATTATCCAAAGCATTTTTCCCATGTTTATTGGAATATTTGAACTGTAGCAATATGAAGAGAGACGCTATTGATACAGTGTTTCCTATTTCAAATCACATACATGAACTGGTGACATAATAAAAAATACATTCACAATCGTATATACCCATCATATTTATAAATCAATGAACAATGATTGAATTTTCACTCTTGTGAATTTTCTATTTACTGATATTAATATCCTTTGTTCACCTAGGGTACATGTCATAGCTGAATGAATATTCAATGTCGTGTTCAAAATATCACGATATTTGTGTAAGATGTCGACAACTGACAAATACACAACACCGGTTTCAACAGGTGCAGGCTGTTGAAGATAGTAAGTCTCGCGGTCATTACAAGGATTGCAATTCCGTTTTTGCTAACTTTGTTCTCTTTTTGAAATGTGACATATACTGGACAAAATAAGTTAAGGATCATAAATTGTGACCATAATATCTTTAAAAATTCAAATCATGTATTGCGGGTAATTGCACTCGTAGTTTCTCCAATATGTACCTAAAGTCATGTCAAAGGTGAAAGCACGTGCATCTGAAGGTCTTGCCGTTCCGCTCTAGTTAACTATGGTGGTGTGAAAAACTGACTGGTCTATTACTACAGAGGAATCTTGCAGGTTTTGATTCTGTTACTTCTAAGCTAAAAAAAGTTGAATTTGGAAACATTTAATCAATTTGTAACGAAAACTTGAAAAACTAATCATGCGAAGACATTTAAATGATATGGAAGCCGCGCGAGGTATAGGGCTCCTTCAAGCTGGTCAAACTCAACGAAATGTGGCGGCACAGCTTCATGTTTCTCAGAGCGTGATTAGTAGGCTATGGAATCGCTATCAACAGACAAATAACGTCCGTCAACGCCCCAGATCTGGACGACCACGCTGTACGACAGCCCGACAGGACAGATTCATTTGCATCACGGCACGACGTCAGCGGTTTTTGAGTGCTCCTGTCTTGAATCTTCAGTTTCAGCGTGCTACAAATCTAAGGATTTCATCCCAGACAATCAGAAACAGACTCCATGCCTCTAATTTACGAGCTAGAAGACCAGCAGTCCGACCAATTTTATCCAGAGGTCATCGACAATCCAGACATCAATGGGCCACTCATCATTTGAATTGGCAATTACGTCATTGGAGAAATGTTATGTTCACAGATGAGTCTAGGTTTTGTGTTGACACACATGACGGTAGGAGGAGGGTATGGAGAACCCAAGGAGAGCGCTATGCAGACTGCTGTGTTGTCCAGCATGATCGCTTTGGTGGTGGGTCAGTGAGGGTTTGGGCAGGGATCAGTGTTGACTTCCATACAGACCTCTACATCATAGACAATGGATCTTTACAGCTGTTCGATACAGGGACAAGATTCTACACCCTATAGTAAGGCCCATTGCAGGAGTTGTTGGCCATGATTTTATTCTGATGGATGATAATGCTTATCCTCACCGTGCTCGTGTGGTCAACGACTATCTTCAACGTGAAGCAATCGTTGCATGGACTGGCCAAGTCGTTCTCCTGATCTGAACCCTATCGAGCATGCTTGGGACACCTTGCAACGCCGGGTTTCAGCTCGACCTAATCCGCCACAGAACCGCCAACAGCTTATGATTGCTCTGCAAGAGGAATGGCAGCGCATCCCACAGATCAGCCACCGACGACTAATAAGGAGCATGTGCAGACGTTGCAGGGCAGTTATTGATGTCAACGGAGGTCATACTGCCTATTAAACTGCCAATTGCAGTTTGATGAGTTTTCCTTGTCTACATGATTAACTTGCTCTACTTCCTCTTACACTTTGATTTCAAGGATGCTGTTACTCAGGGTTATCTGCTCTTGGTAGCAATTACCACAAATGAATTTGTTTTGTGTAATTAAAGACTAAAATGAATGTTCTGTCATTAAAATTTAAAATATAATCATATTATTATTTGTATGTAAAACTGCACTGTTTCAAGTTTATGATCCTTAACTTATTTTGTTCAGTATATTTTGTTTTTCGGGAACACCTGCTCTTATTCTCCATGGTTTCCGTGCAAAGCTTGTTTTTGTTCAAGTTTTGCCTTAGTGTCATCGAATTTGAGATTGAGTTAAAATGATGTTAACATGTCTGTATTTTCTTTGCTTTTAGCATTATTATTTATTTGATGCAGCACTTCTTAATGTCGCTTGACTTTAGAAAAAAATAGTTTATTCTATATTGAAACTGAAATTTATCTGATGCATTCCTCTCTTGACATACATGTATAACTGGTTACCTTGGGGCAGGTCATTTTTTATAGTAATATTCTGATCATAAATATATTGGCATCTAAAAAGAAAAAGCACTTGGTTACGTCGGAGTACAGTGTAAACAACATAATTGATGTTGAGTTTGAAAGTTACTTGTCTTTTTATTTTAAATGCAGGCAAACACATCAGTTATTTCAGTCAGTTGTCTTATTTTCTGCTTTCTGGCTGTAAGCAAAGGCACTTTGATGAGTATTACAAGATTATAAATGAATATGACGCGTTCTAGGAACTACACGTTTTCTGAATAATTTATACCTCAAGGGAAGTAACTCTTTACGACACGGTTTTTCCATGTGTGCACGAAAGCTCAGATTTTTTTTAAACTTAGTTACTCTGAAGTAGAAATATGGAAGAATGGCCTTCCAAATAAACTAAATGTTGTAACCTTTTTGTTGTTCAAGAAAGAATTACAAGCATATATTTTGCTTTAGGTATGGAAAACGCCTCGTAGTCAATATTTGTACTCATTTTATCAGGTTTGTCTGTGTGTATTTTACAGAGTGCATGAAATGCAACTAAATGTTTCCTGAAACGTATACACATTTATTAGTTTCAAAATCTTGTAATTAGATTTTATGTATTCTTAAGTTTAATTATTTTATTAGTATATGGTTTTTATTAACATTGATTTATTTAATTTAAGGGTAATGTCATAGCGAACTATTCATATCATATAAATGGGTTAGGTATTATACTCCTAACAGAGAAGGTGTGTGTGCATATGTATGTGTTAACCATGATATCCAGCTGAGATATATAAATTGCCAACATTGTATCTAAAGGAAGCTGACTGATTGTTAGTATGTATCAACGTGGTGCAAGCAACTGAAATATGATTAAAAAACGATGATAATGTTGTTTATTTACAATGCCAAACATGGGTTATATATGTATATACAAGACTCGCTCGCAAACACATAATCACTCACTCCTATATCAAGAAATACGAATGTTAATGTAGCTAAGCATAGATCCTGAATAATATTCTAATACACCTTAACTCATTAACAAGGATGTAAACACTCCACTCAAATATGTTTTAAATAGGTATTAATAATGTATGGCTCGAGTTTAATTAGGAGATTACATTGAATTTCACACCTCATGGTTTCAATACATTTTCCACCCGCGCGCGTACCCACTGTGTTCAACACTATGACAAAAGAGACGTTAAACGCACGATATAGACTACATAATTGCATATTGAACAATCAAGTATGCATTTATCGCCCTTATACAATAGTAGAACATACATACTTTATGCATAAAAATTAGCATAAAAACGACATGAATAGAACTCATTTCACCTAAGTAATACACAATGATCTAGGTTGTTTGACCCGATGGTAACACTGTACAATGCAATATCAACTAAAATAGAAAGTTAACTTACCACAGTCTGTCTTTTGTGCCTGTTTCACATGCTGTAAAATAGCGATAAATTCTTATTGGATGCACGAGGCAAATAACAACAGCTCACCAAGTGCACGCCTGCCCGTGACGCATTTCCACCGATGCCTAATTATTA